GTCACCCAGTTGATTCACACTTCACAGTGGCCCTGGGGGCAGAGTAGAACCGCCCCCGCCCCCAAGGTTTCCAAGGCTGTCATCTGTATGGAGGGAGGCTGACACATCTTCTCCAATGGAATGGCTGGTGGATTTCAATCAGTGACCTTCTAATTAGCAGTCAATCGCTTATACCGTTTCCCCGAAAGTAAGACATCCCCCGAAAATAAGACCTACTTACAGTTTTGCCTCTTGCTGAAATACAAGGCATCCCCCCCTCCCCCCCCAAGGTACTGTAACTCTGGACTCTGGACTGTAGCGGCAGCTCACTGTTGGCCGCAGCGCAGCCGGAGCAGACAGGAAGTGCGAGGTCTCTTTTAATAAAACAATCAACAATAAATGTGTACCGTATTCTTCTTCATGGAAAAATATGACATCCCCTGAAAATAAGACCTAGCGCATCTTTGGTAGCAAAAATTAATATAAGACATGGTCTTATTTTCGGGGAAACAGGGTAGCAGTCAATCACTTACAAGTGGTGTCACCAGGAGTTCTTCAACTGAAAGGAATGACTTCAGTTTCTACCAGATTACTTCCTAAGGAAGGTTTATTGCTTTGCACTTAAATATATGCATTTGTATACATCTATACTGATCATCAAAACTAAATCTCTTGAGTTTGCAAATAATTACACAAACTCAAAGTTTAAATTTCTGCGAGTTTGCATAATACATTTAGGAAAAAGGTGCAAAATAAAAAATAGATGTGAAAACTCAATAGTGGAGAAGTTGCAGCCCAATATTTAAACTCACTGCTAATGGTTCTTATATGAAAAACAAAACAAAACCCCAAAATAAACTCTACATAAAAACTTCAAGGTAATGTAAAAGTCCTCAAAAATCATGTTAAACTTAACTTGGTAGTAGAAATGAAAGAATTTATGCTAAGCAAGTAATAAAAATTTTAAAGAAGAAATTTTACTCATTTGTAGTATGTTTTTTATACTACTGAAAGATTGGAAACCATGCAATACCTGTTGAGTGACAAACGATTTTACAATGTAAAAACCCAATTTAAAATGAAGTAGATTTTTAAAAATTGTGAACTAGAAAATCATCTGCAAAATTATTGGAAGCTAATCAACAGAAAATACAAAAGAAATATATCAAATAATCTAGGAAAGAAAGATAGTACCTTTATCAAAACAAACTTGTGGAATTCTGAGCAGAGCTGGTAGACCATGGTTAAGTGCTTGGCCGCTGAGTCAAAGATCGGCAGTTTGAAGCCAATGGTGGGTGGCTCCCTGGGAGAGAAGACCTGGCAATCCCCTCTCATAAAGGTAACAGCCTAGGAGCTCTGTGGGCCTGCCTATTCTCCCTCGTCCTGTACGGATGCTATGGGTCAGCCTTCAAGCAACCCTACAGCAGCAGCAGCAGCAGCAACATGCACAAGGGTTACAGATTCACAAGACCATGGGAAAACAGGGAAAGTCACTGAATTAGAACTGAAGACATTACTGATACATTTTCTCTTCAAACTATGTTAAGTTTTTAAAAAATCAACTATAATTTTAAGCTTATCCATGACCAATTTGGGCCAAGCTAAATATTTATATTAGGCTGATCTCATGCCTGAATTCAAAGAATAAAATTGTTGGTCCTCACACTGAAATAATTAACTATGGAACTATTTTCAATATTTTGAGTTTATAAGAGAGAGAGAGAGAGAGAGAGAGAGCAAAAGAGAGAGAATAAACCACAGCTGATACCCTCTTTGTCTGGTGCATTTCATGCCAGATGTCTTTGTGACATCAATTCCACCACTGTCAATCAAACATCAAACTCACTGCCATTAAGCCAGACTGATTCTTGGTGAGCCCATGGCTCCAAAGGAGACCTGCTCCATAGGTTCCTTTTGCTGCAATGGAATGGAATGTCTTTATTCTTTGGCACTGCTGGGTGAGTTTGCATTACCAACCCTTAGATTAGCAGCCAAGCAGAAACTGATTGTGCCAGCCAGGGACTGTTCTGCCAATGGAACAAGAGGCAATCGGCTGGGTGGTCTCTCTAGAGATTCCCATTCTTAGCGTTTGGGTTCCAGGAGAGTCACACCAGGACCCCCCTAATATAGATTTCATCTTCATTTCATTCTCCCCGCCCAATGCCCCCATCCGGAGATGCTTTTTGGCATTTCTAGGACACATGTCATTGGATTGTGGAGCATTCAGAAGAAATTAAAGTGTTAATACATCCACTTGAAGGGTATATTGAACTCTAGACTCAATACTGAACAAGGAAGGGTCCAGGAGTAAACTTAACAGAATTTTGGTGAGAATTAAATTACATCTTAGAGTTACTATGGCTAAGTCTCGCTAAAGAAAAATCTTGATAAAAAGCTTTATGTGGAAAAGAAGTAAAAAGGGACGGTGTGAATTTCCATCACTGAAATGCATGCAGCTGCTTCCAGTATGTGATTAAATGGCTCTCAGATACGCTTCCTTGCCATAAGCACAGTACAGTACCAGGCAACCAAAGCAGAAGAACCGGCGTCTTTTTCTTTTTGAGGCTGGTGTCTCAAAGAACTCGAGATCTTAAAGAACACCTGGAGCGGTGGTTGAAAACTGAACCCAGATGTTGGAGCCAGCCTTGATTTCTTTCTATCTTGTTCCACACTGAGGAAAGCAAGCAAAGCATGTAAAAATGGGAGGAGGTACGTCTGAGATCTTCCTGAAGCCCATGAATCTCACGATACAAGAAAGTCCTTACACTCATCGACCTTATCGAAATGTGTCTCAGAGGAACATTGATCCCATCAACATTTGTTGAACTGACCAAGCTAGGTGTGTCTTAAGTGAGGGTCTCACATCATCTCCAAAACCGTATGGTGGAAGATTTCAATGATCTCCATTATGTAGATGGGAAAACTGAGGCATAGAAAGTCTTAAGTAGCTTTCCCAAGGAGTCGAAGATTTAAATGCTGGAATCAAATTCAAACCCACATTTCTCAAATCTATACTATATTAACCTATGATTCCTAGCTCATAAGGGAAAGAGAGATCGGAGAATACTGACAAAAGAGCATCAGTAGTCATGAGTAAAATCAACATAAGTAAAAATCATCAACAAGTTGAGAAATTGTCACAAGGGTCCAAGAAGCATAAGGACAAATAGCCTTAGGAACCTGTTATAGAGCTCAAAGCAGTAAGAATTTTCATAGAGATGGTCTCATGACATTTTGAATGACAATCAGTGTAGAGACATAATTATGTTATACTTTTCCGTTTCAAACGAAGATTTCAAGGAATGATCTATGGAACACCCTTCTTTCCTAAATAGGTAAGCTTTTGTTAACTAGACTCTCCCTTGTGTATAAAAGTGTCTTCCAGGGTAATTCTATATCACTAGGATATTACTGTGTTCATGCTTCGGGCAAAATCAAACTGTGTATTGTCTGTAACACACATGGAACCAGAAGTATGAACAACTGGCTACAGTCCTGGCTTTGACATTAATGACAGAACATAAAGAGTTGTTCGTTCCTTCTCTGCCTTGCTGTAGTTTAACTTCTAGGGACAGAAGAGCTAGGTAGATCATTTCACTCGCGCCATCCTTCTGTGGTTCTCTAATGATGCTAAGTGAGTTTTGATTGCCACTCGGAGAGAAATGAAATGAAACCCAATCTCAAAGATACAAAACATTCAAACATACAGTCTTACAGTGCCAACTTATTGGAAGGAACCAGTAAGACCTAAAATTTCTGCAATAAATTTGAACCTTATGGATCTGCGTTGCTATGTATACCGTCTGATCTTGCATCCAAGGCTTCTTTCATATTGAAATGCCTAGGCACAGATGGCCGAAACATGCATCTTTTGTAAGTGGGCAAAGAAGCACTATTTTCTAGCCCAAACAAGTAATATTAAACAGAAATTATACTCATGCAAAAAATATAGTAAGGTATTTATTTTAGGTTCAAAAAATCTTCATATGTCTCTATCAGAGGTTCATTTACTGTGTAAATTACCTTGCAAAAAGGTAAGAATTTTATTAAGGGGATTTTGTAGAGTCACACAGCTTTGTTATTAAAATATGGTTTGTTTTCTTTTTTGCAGCCCCGTAATTCCATGGTGACAACTGTCTCTGGCCCTGCTTGGGGCACCCCGCCTAAGCCCCTTCCCAGTAGATCCCTTTTGCACTTCCTGAAAGGGTTGGGAGGAGGTATTTCTAGAAGGGCTTGGGATCGGCAAGATGGTCCCTTGAGTGAGCGGGTTAGAATGAAGCAATCAGCTGATGTGACCACTGGGGATCTGTCTCTGCAGAGACAGGGAAGGGAACCACGCGCCATGCAAAGGCTCTTTCATTGTTCACCGCCAGCTTTCCCATTTCTCAACTGGTGGTGGCCATATAAGGTTTCCCCTCCCCCAGCTCCCTCCTCTCCCTCCCTCTAAAATATGGTTATTTTTTAAAAAGAAAAAAAATGTATTAGCTCAATCTGCATAACTAATACTTTCTCTTGTAATTCTGTCTAAGAAGTGTTTCTCTTTTTGCATCTCCAAAAAGCTGGACAGGGAAAGAGAGGTAAGAAATCTTGGGTAGCAGGACACATGATTCAAAGACTTAAGACTTTGAAAGAATGTGCATGAGTCCAGAGAGCCTGCAACCATTTCCTAAAGGCCCCGGGAACTGCAAATGTAGGGTGAGATCTAAGAGTAAGAAGTGAAACTCCACTCCGTAGGAAACGTTTGGCTGCTTCAGGGAGAAACACACTAGCTTCTACAAACATGCGCGAACGTTGCCGGACAAGGATCCTTCCAGCAGCCCCATCCCAAGGCATCTTTGCCCTCCTTAGACCGGAGGGCAAAAAGGAGACATTCAGATATGCCGATTCACTCACGCAAACTTTTTTTTAAGGTCTCGGAAGAGAGGAAGATTGGATGGTTCTTTCTAGCTGTAGTGATGAACTTTTTGTTTGGCCAGAGAAGCCATCTCTCCCAAACAGCAGGGGCCAAATGTGGAACTTACGATGTAGCAGGGCTCACAGTAGGCCTTCTTTTCCACAGCATAGAAGGGCTGCCCCCGGAGCTGGCTACTGCAGACGATGCAGGTGAAACACTGCACGTGGAAGACCTGATCCATGGCAGTGCAGCCTGTCCCTTCGCCGACGACATTTTCCCCACAGCGAGCACAGCGGCCTGGAAGACAAGGAGACCGACTATGAAGAACAACCGAGGGACCCATCGGCCCCCACAGGTGAGGCGCTGGTGGAACCTGGGGCTCATCGCCAGTATCTGCAGCATAGCCATCACTGTCCTGGCTGGGTAAAGGAGTCCCCGGAGTGCAAAGGTTACATGCTCGCTGTTAACCAAAGGTTGGTGGTGTCTGTGCACCTAGTGGTGGTCTAGGAGATCAATTTCTATGAGATTTCATCAACAGCTGAAGACCCTTGATTGTACAGTTAGTTCCATTCTGATCCACAGAAGCAGGAAGTACTTACCCGGCTGGCGAAGTCTACCATTAGTGAATGCACTGCCATGGAGTTGATTCAGACCGAAAGTGGCCCTCTGGGACACACTGCTTACCTTACAGATAGCAGTCCTACAGTCATCAGTGCATTCCGACGCCTAGCGACCCTACAGGTTAGAGTAGACCTGCTCCTGAAGTGTAAATCTTATGACAGCCTGCACTTCCTCCAGCTAACCTTGTAATTAGCAGCCTGATATTCCATCCACTGCACCACGGGGCTCCTGAAAGGCCTCCTGGTATAGGGCAAAAGGTTTAAATTCTTGGTGGACAGCCCAAAGTGGTGGTTCAGATCAACTCAACGGAAACAAAGAGCCAGTGACGTGATTCTGAGAAATCAGCCATGGAAAACCATGGAGCCCAGTTCTGCTGGGACACACAGGGGTCTCCAGGAGGCCAAGTCGACTCAAAGGCAACAGGTCTTTTCATAGTTCATGAGGCTGGCATGAAAGGACCCTCCCAGTCATGTCCAGAGAAGGTGACTGAGTAAAGTGTGCAGATCTAGTTTGGAGTCTAGTGCCCATTCTCTGCCTCTGTTCTCACTGGTAACTAGCGAGCTAGCGGTGCTCAGCATGAAAGGAACTGGCGGTAAACAGTCTAGGAAAGCCTTTTTTCTTGAGGAGTCTGTGTGTCCAGTCAGACACTAAAGGAACTGGGTCCAAGTGCAAACTTCAATGAGCCCTGGTTGTAAAAACCTCTGCTGTGCCCCTCGGGGGAAGGCAGATCACTGTCAAGGCAGTTTGGGCTGGTAGAAAGTTCTTTCCCATATTGAACCTAACACTGCTTCTTTCCCATATTGAACCTAAAACTGCTTCCTCACTGCCTTTGCAGCCTTTCAGATCAAGTTTTATCTCTCTCAGACTTGAAATGCTGTAAGATACTAGGTTATCATGGCCTCCAGATTAGTTCCTATTTGAACATCCCTAAATTCGGCAACAATGCTATAACCTAGAGTGTTCTGAGTCACATCACGGCCATGGCTGCCTTTCAATGAGGAGCCCAGCAGTCTGCAAACTGCCATTACTCTTAGATCAATTCATAGGGCATCTGGTCTGCATATGGTAGTGAGGGTTAGGTTTCACAAATTTGTGTTAATTTTTAAATAAAAGAAAATTTAATAGAGATAGTTATTTCAGTGAGAGGCATGATGCTAAAGCTTCATCAAGACGTCTATTAACTATAGTCATTTCCCCCTTTTCGGTCACTGCTTCTACTGACTCAGAAAATCCTCACAAATCCTAGCTGGGAATGCTGGTAGGATGTTGAGGGCTCTTATGGATAAGTTATAGCTAACACAACACTTCATAAGCACTAAGTTCTTGGCCTTTTATATCTATTCACTCACTTAATATTCAGAAGAACCCTATGAGATAGCCATTGCTTTTATTCCATTTTACAGAGGAGGGAACTAGATTACAAAGTGGCTATCCAGCTTCACTATGGATGCCCTTAGCTACTGTGCTATATTTCCCCCTAAGTAGCTTTATGCATCAGACTGAACACAGATCTAGCACCGTGGAGAGATTTCTCACTAAAGACTGCCTTTCAGCACTCCGTCATATTGGATTGACAACCATTTCACACTTGAATATGAGAAGGCTAAATGTTTCAATTTGGAAGAAAAGAGGCAAACACATTTCTAATTGTCTCTGGTTGCATTTTGACCTGGAAAAGAGGTCTTCGTATTCTGTTGTAGCATTCCCTGTGTCCTTTAGGAATGGCCAAAATGACTCATTTATAATTTTTTTCTACATGGAGTCAAAACTATCATGTGCTGGACACATCAACAGCTGTTGGAAATCGTTGTCTCCACTACAACTGGTACTATTATGAAATTCTGATATTACGTTATTTTGGGTGGATAAAAATAATCTCATATAATAAATGTAATAAACACGATAGTTGATGTTACAGGCTTCTAAGAGTCACAAATCCAAGAGTTAACTCGTACTTATTTTTAAAATGGTTTAAATATTTTTTTTAACTGTATGGCTTGGAACTCTCCCTCCTTTTAATAACATGAATTATTTCATATGGCATTGTTTTTGCAATTTTTCTGAAATAACACCAAAGAAGTGAAAAACAAATGAGAAAACCTTCCATTGGTTTCCTGGACAGCTCACTGTGCTATGACGCCAAGATTCTGAGACCGTCATGCCGCAATCTGACCAGGCTTCCTTTTAGAGACTGGGGCAACTGGACAGCCAGTCCACAAAATACAAATGTTCAAAAATACTACGGGTCTGTGACTAGCCCCAGCCCAAAGTTAACAACTGGTCCTGGTGCTGTACCAGATAGGTCGAGGTAGCAATTTTGATCTAGACCATGGATGCCCACAGCGTAACAGCTGCAACCCAAAAGGTGGAGCCCACAGGACATGTGGACATGCGCGGCTGGGAATCGATGGCAACTCTTGATTAGAAAGAAAGGTTGCAGCGAGACTTCCAGGGCAGGCTAACAAGATACACTTGGAGATTTTCACCTATTCTACGAGATTCCAAAGACCTACTCTGCAACTTAGAAGTGAGGATGGTAAGACTGTGTCTCAGACGTCGGACAGGCCAAGATATGACAAAATAA